GAGCATGATTGCTTTGGCTTGTGCTCAATTAGGCTTACACCAATCAGCTCATTGCTGGTTAATGGGTGACACCATTTAAACACATCATGTCTTTGCACACATTTCTCTTAGCCTACAGAGGCATCCACATGGCAGGTATTGTTCATCGTTACCGTAGGAGAAGGTACCGTCAAAGGGTGCATGCTGAGCATGCCAAACCACTCGAGCAATACACATCAGAAGAACTGTATGCACGTTTTCGCATTGGGAGAGATGACATTAAGTACATTGCAGATCTTGTCAGGCCAACACTCCAACACCAAACCAAAAGGAGTCATGCTTTATCTGTGGAGGAACAGTGCTTAATCGCTCTGCGCTTTTACGCATGTGGGACTTTCTACCAAGTAATTGGTGACAATATGGGAGTGAGAAAAGCAACCGTGAGTAATGTGGTGAAGGCTATGTCAGTAGCACTGGGCAGTCTGATCAATCAATTTGTTTCCTTTCCCAAGGATGACCAGACAGCTCAGACTAAGCACAAGTTTTTTCAAATGGGGAACATGCCTAGCACTATTGGTGCTATTGATTGTACTCATGTGCATATCCAAGCACCTTGTGAAAGGGAGTGGGAGTATGTCAATCGAAAGGGGAGGCACCGCATCAACATCCAACTTGTGGGCAACGCCGACCTCATAATAACCAACTGTGCTGTGAAATGGCCAGGGTCTGTTCATGATGCACGTATTCTAAGAGAACGCGCACTATACAGAGAGCTTCAATCCCACCGACCAAATGGCATAGTATTGGGAGACCGCGCGTATCCACTCCTACCATGGCTAATGACCCCTTTTCCAGTTTCAAACACACCTGAGCAGGCACGCTTCAACTCCTCGCATTGCAAAACAAGATGTGCCATTGAACGCTTAAATGGAGTCCAGAAGAGACGGTTTGTGTGTCTTAACTACTTGCGAGTACAACCCAAGGTGGCATGCAACCTAATCCTTGCCTGTATTGTTTTGCATAACATCTCCACCAGGCGTCATGTCCCTCTTGATGACAATTTTGATGGACCTGAGCCTGATGTAGAACCAGAACAGCCGCCAATGTTCTTACCTAATGACGGACACACTGGACATGCAATTGTGAGAAATTACTTTTAACTAGGCTACTGAATGACTGAGTATATTTGTTGTCATTGCCATTAATATAAAGTGAAATTATAGAGCTGTGAGCAACAGTGACATTTATTTGAGGGGTTTTTTGTTGTTTACCACATCTCATTAGATGTGTGTGTGTGTGTATATATATCATCAGTAAACATTGATTTTGTGATCATTCACTTAAAAAAAAAAACACATTTTATTTGGTTCGAAAAATCACAACTGAATCCACCCTAATCCTGTGTTGTTTTTTTGGGATCAAATAGATCCCTAACCGAGTTCCAAGTTTTGGCTAACCCAAAGGGCAGGTTTGATCCAGATCAAATGTAAAATCGGATTACATGCTCGGATCTTAGTTCGGAATCCCTCTTTTGCTTTTGAAAAACCCATTTCCAAGATTTGATCCGTGATCCGAAATCCCACTGGATTACTTTTGAACAACTGGGCCCTGATGTCCAATGTAAAACCAGTCCTGACGCAAAACCAGTAGTGCACTATAATATTTAACGTGCATTTTGAAGTGCATCCTAAATCGCAGACTGTCAGTTTAATTTAAATGTCATAGTCATACATGTGATGTTATGAGCATTCAGGTGTCCCCATAGTATCCATAAAAAAGCATGTCTCAATCACAAATCAAGAGTAGCCTATTTTGATCTGACCTCACCTCTGCACACAGCTGCTGTCCAAACCAGCACACACTTCTGTTTCAGGACTCTCAAACCCCAGCACATGGACGTCCTCGCCCCTTTCGAAGATTAAAACACAAATCAAACATCACACGAAGTGTAACAACATAATGAAAGTCAATTCAAACACCGCGGACGCAGACAGAAACTTGCCTCTTCAATGCTGCATTAATAAAACACCCGAGGAGTCCGCGCCCGGAGCACTGCACGGTATCTGAAAACATGTCATGAACACATGCAGCGCTGGAGAAAGGTACAGATGCGGTTTTTGAGTTATTGATGAGACTCACGAGATGATGCTACCTTCAATGAGTATGAATCCTCCTCCAGCCTGCATCACATCCAGCAGCAGCATGACTCAAATCAGCTCACTTCAAGAAGTGCAACGTGATGAAACATGATGAAATATGACAGACCCGAAATGCCTGGCTATGTATAAGAGTTATGGTATATTTCACGATCAACACGAGTTTGATTACAGTGAATACTCAATTTCCCAAAAGCACCGCGGCCATTAGAACAGCGGACTGCGTTCTTCTTCTTCTTCTTCTTCTTCTTCTTGATGGTATGGCTGTTTGCAAACTGTTTGCAATGCATCACCGCCACCTATTGTGCTGTAGTATGAACAGATGTTAGGTTCTGTTGTATTAAATTATATTACATTATGTTATATTATATTGTTACATGTTATGTTATGTTGTATTATATTATATTATATTGTTACATGTTATGTTATGTTAGGTTCTGTTAGGTTAGGTTAGGTTATGTTGTATTAAATTATATTACATTATGTTATATTATATTGTTACATGTTATGTTATGTTATATTATATTACATTATGTTATATTATATTATATTACATTATCCAAATAATCTGAGTTAAATCAAACTTGGCTGCAGTTTTTGAAGAAGTGTTGATTGTTGTTATCCAACATAAGGGTTTTCTAATCAGGGTCAGGGTTGGAGTTAGTTTAGAGAGAAAAAAATTTAAAAACGTAAAAACTAATATTTTTTATAAATATGATTAAATAAAATAAATACATAAATTGTGAATAACAAAGTATAATAATATAAGAGTAAAATAAAGAAATTAATAAATAATAAAAAGTGTATTAAAAAAATAAAAATAATAGATTTAGGAAACAAACAGTATAGCAGTACAATATTATAATGAGTAGAACAAAGTAATATTGCAATGTAACAGAAACAAAACATTTTCCAAATATGATTTTACACATATTTATAAAATCATTTTCACCCTTAAATTGGGTCTTTACACAACAGTACCTGTACATACAAAACTGTCTATTGTAATATACCTGCACTGTCAAACTGTCAATTTATATAGTTTTATTCCTTATTTATCTGTGTTTTTTGTTCTGTCACTGTCATTCTGTTACACTGCGGAAGCTTCTGTCACAAAAAACTAATTCCTCGTATGTGTAAACATACCTGGCAATAAAGCTGATTCTGATTCTAAAATATATAGATGCTGTTTTAGTATTTGGGGAGCCTGTGGCATCTAAAAGACTGAAACCCCTTGCTTAACTCATTTGATCCCTTAACCATGATCCCTGTTGTTTTTAGCCTCTAAGTCTGAACATCTCGGGGAAAAGCAAGGATATTTTTATCTTAAAGGCAGTAAAGCCTTTTAAATGGCTGTCTCCTCGAGGCCCAACATAGTGACAGCGCAACATCGCCCTCTATCGATTTCATACAGAACACGGGAGGAAACCAAACAAACAAACAAACAAAAAAAAAAAATAGTAGTGAAATAATTAAAAATGAACTCCTGTTCACTGAGTTTTGAAAAAAGCTAAATAACTCAAATATGACCGGTTTCCATGTAAAATAAATATATAACACAACGTACTAATAAATTAATGTATATTATATAATATATCACACATAACATACATGTCATAAAACCCAGTAAAAACAATAAACAGACCATCCCTAAAAATCAACGAGATGTTTTTTTTTTTAATTTTTAAATTTTTTTTATTAATGAAAATAGAACAAATAACAAACAGAGCATAGCATAAGACAGCCAGTGCTATACAAAGTGTGATATTAATTAGTAACGGGCACTGAAAATAATGTCATAATATTTTAAACATGTTAATGACTTTCTGTTTTTTAACCATTTCTCAACGAGATGTTTCTGCAGAAGTGAACGGGGACTCCGTGACGTCATCAGCGCGCGACGCTGGGCTTCAGTCTGCTGGCCTCCCGGAATGGGCAGATTTCGCCAGCCCGTGTTTAACCACTGATTTATAGCACGACCTGCACCGAGAGTCTGTATTTTAGCACGTCGCCTACACGATGCCATGCGGAGGTGAGTGTTTTCGTCGCGGGCCGGTCGGAGAAGCGGCTGTTTGTGTCTGTGGGAAGAGCGATTAGCCCGCTAGCGTAAATCCCAGCCCCTCGTTTACTCCCGCTTTAGCTTCAAACGCTTTGACTGACAAAATGAGGTTTAACGGACTACAACGAACGCACAAACCTCTTTTCTACAAACGCAGGGTTGTGTTCCCCGTGTGAGGTGTCTGGCTAGCGAGGTTACAGGCTTTAATAGCAGCTGGCTAACGCTCGAGTCCTCATGAAAACATGACTAACTAGTGTCTCTGCTTGTGCCACGATTCACTTCAGCGCGATGTCAGTACACCCGAAACACCTACATCTGCTTTATTGTGTTTTTAAACATGTCTCATCAGTGCTCGTTAATGCTTTTCGCGTTTCTGTGTCAGTTTAATAGCGTCAGGGCAAGGGCGAAGTTTCCGTTTCGTAGAAACTTGTCGTTTTTGCATGCTCTTCAGTGCCTTCTGTTTGTTCTGAAACTGGCCATTTAAACAGAGGAGTAGTATATTTAGCAGCTGGGAGGTTCAGTTTGGTCCCCCTGGCGTGTAGTGTCAGAAATCTGCTTTTACTGCGAGGCAAGTTTAAGACATTTTAGGGGGGTATATTTTGTCTAATCGTATCAAAACAAAGTCTGTCGTGTATTTATGCGATACTTTAAATCAAAGCTGCACTAAACCCGTCAATAGATATGCTTAGATTGAAATGTACCACATTTTAGATATGCTTAGATTGAAATATACCAAAATTTTGATTGAAATAAATAACATTTTTAGATATGCTTAGATTGAAATATATCAAATTTTTGATTGAAATATATAACATTTTTAGATATGCTTAGATTGAAATATATAACATTTTTGATTGAAATATATCAAATTTTTGATTGAAATATGCCAAAATTTAGATTGAAATATACCAAAATGCTTAGATTGAAATATATAACATTTTTAGATATGCTTAGATTGAAATATATAACATTTTTGATTGAAATATATCAAATTTTTGATTGAAATATGCCAAAATTTAGATTGAAATATACCAAAATGCTTAGATTGAAATATATAACATTTTTAGATATGCTTAGATTGAAATATACCAAAATGTAGATATGCTTAGTTTGAAATATGTAAATTTTTTTAGATATGCTTAGATTAAAATATACCAAATTTTAGATTGAAATATACCAAATTTTAGATTGAAATATGCCAAATTTTAGATTGAAATATGCCAAAATGCTTAGATTGAAATATATAACATTTTTAGATATGCTTAGATTGAAATATACCAAAATTTAGATTGAAAATTTCCAAATTTCTTGATTGAAATATATAACATTTTTAGATATGCTTAGATTGAAATATACCAAAATTTAGATTGAAATATACCAAAATGCTTGATTGAAATATATAACATTTTTAGATATGCTTAGATTGAAATATACCAAAATGCTTAGATTGAAATATATAAAATTTTTAGATATGCTTAGATTGAAATATACCAAAATGCTTAGATTGAAATATATA